AGGCTGCCAAGCTCGCCGGAAGAGTGTCCTTCTTGACACAAGCGGCCTTCGGATCCGTCGCAAAGGCCGCGACGAAAGCGATCTACGCCCGAGCAGCCGACACAGCGGCATGGACGGCGGACTCCCTGTCCGACGGTCTCTCGGCGGCCCTACGATCCTTGGCCAGGATCTTGCCGACGATCCGACCCAGATTCATTCCGTTCGACGCCAAGGAGATGGAGGTCGCGATCCTGTACGCCGACGCCTTCTTCACCGACGGGGAGACCAGGCACAAGGCCGGCCACGTACCCCAGGGGGTACGGCCGACGAAGAAGGCGGCGAATGGATGGGGATATGTTCTACGAATCGGCGACCAGGTCTTCTTCGACCACGGCGTCGCGCCGGAATGGTTTGTCAAGCTCTTCTCGACGAGGAAGGCATACATCTACATGCTCGAAGTGCTGGCCCAGCTCGTCGCCTTCGTCACCTTCGGCGCCCGTCTGCCGCCGGCCATTGTCGCCTTCATCGACAACACCGCCGGACAGGCAGCCCTTACAAAGGGATACGGGAAAGACGCCGCGGTGAACGGCATGATTTCGGCCTTCTGGACGCTTGCGGCGCACCAGGGGTGGTTCGTCGAGTTTGAGCGAGTTCCCTCCAAGGCCAACGTCGCCGACGCAGTCTCCAGAGACGACTTCAGCAGGGCGACGGCCGAGGGATGGCACAGAGTCTCCACGCCGACCGACGAGATACTCTCCATCTTCGCCCGATCGGCGCAGGACCTCGAATATGCCACGACGGAGGCGGCGGACGACCTCCTTCAGCTGGCCAACGGCTTCCACGTCTGAGCCGGCGCGGGGTGGAGAGTCGGTGCGCACGGCGGGTGCAGAATGCGCCCCGGCACCGACTCGTCGTTTCAGCCTGTTGATTCGCCGAACGGCGTGCTACAGCGCTGCTACCACACGACGAAAAAGAAGTCCTGATTCGTCGCAGTGCTCAGTTTGGTTCAACGTCGGGCAGAGTGCGACGGTTGTTGTGAAACACACGTGTGTGTGCAGTAACAACCGTTAACGACGGCCGTCGCTAGCACTCTGGCTCGACGAGTTCAAAGATTTTACCCACCCTCACCGCCCAGTTTTATTTTCGCGTTTCGGCGGAGGGCGAACGACAGCGGGCCGGGTGCAGAATGCGCCCCGGCACCGACTCGTCGTTTCAGCCTGTTGATTCGCCGAACGGCGTGCTACAGCGCTGCTACCACACGACGAAAAAGAAGTCCTGATTCGTCGCAGTGCTCAGTTTGGTTCAACGTCGGGCAGAGTGCGACGGTTGTTTTAGAAAGCTTGTAGAGCCTGCCACTGGTGGCAATCGTCGTTAGTCAGCATTATCAACCGAATATCCGAATCGCCAGCTGCCACTTTGGCGTTGCCTTGGAATGTATTCATTACAGCACTAGCATGTTGAGCTCTGGTGCAGAAGTGCCAATCCGAAGCAGTGGTCCTCTTCTTGTCAAGTCTGGCAAACGAGAACATTTCGAGACCATTTCACGGGAATAAACTTGGAACCGACATAGCCTTGGCGGCTTCTTTTTCGGACCCGCGTGTCCTGCCTCAGTGCTTGCTGCCAAGGAGAAGAACCTGCCCTACCGTAAGGATCCAGTCAGTGCTTCTTGCAGGCCAGCCACAAGGACGAAATACGTACTGATTCGGATTGAGGGTGTATGGGTTTGTTACAATTTCACTTACCAGGTCAAGCGTTGGAACAAGGGCAAACATCGATATCATCGACGACGGAAAGTGTTCCTGACAGCCTTTGTACCTGGTAAGTCGGTCAAGAATGCACCCATGCACAACTTCAACACTTCCCCTGGCCCTATTGCTGGCTGCTGGGATGGTCGTTCACACTCGTAGCCTGTTGTCAACTTCGGCCACTATCAGGTCGCTAGATCCAGAATGGAAGCAGGTATTGGAGGCTGGCCCAGTCGCTGTTGCTGTGAGAATCTGATCGTACCGAGAATGCACAGCAGCTGCGAGCCTCGGTCACTATCAGGAGAAGCTGCGGCAGATTTGCAGGAAGGCCGACGTGGTCTACCAGGAGGGCATGACACTGGGGCAAATGGGCGCGCACTCGTTGCGAATCAACAAGGCAATTGGGCATGCCTGGGTCGAACGTCACGGGATCAGGAAAACACCTTCCTGGTTGAGCCAGGTTCTCCGTCTGTTGCAGCAACAATTCAATGTGCGTTTGCCGCCTACCATCGACGGTTGCACAGTCCCCGAGCTGGCAGACAAGGCATCTCAGCCACGGCATCTGGCAACATATCTTCGACATAGATGCGGAACTGACAGGCTCTTGTGAGTTGTGGAGAACCATTCCTTTTCATCTAGAGGTCTAGGCCGAAGGTAAGCTTTCACGTAAGTTGCACACCTTCCTGACGGAAGGAGGACTCCGGTTGGACAGAGTGCATCTACTGTGAATCACTCTGTGTGCAAGGTTGTTGCTCTCCAACAAGCTTGATAGCTCTTACTAGAGTGGCTTGGCATGCAGTTGCCATACAGTTTTTGCGAAACTTGCCGTCTGTCTGTATCACGGAAGACTCCAGTGCTGAAGAAACTTGCTGATTGTCGTACAAGTCTTGCGACAGGAACAAGCTGCTGTCCCATGCTGGCAGACGACACTGTAGTAACAGTAGTATTCACCGATTCTCCTGCGGCACGGGGCGCAAATTAGCTGTGCAGCGCATCATCATGCAGACAACACTCCTGCCGAGTCACTCCCACCGCCCCTCGAGACCTGTAGAATCCTTACTCTCCAGCCGCATACTCTCGGCTGGTTGTTCAGGTTATTTACCACCAGTGACCCGCTGTATCCGAGCTGGTGAGTGCGAAGCTACACCAGGCTTCGCTGCGTGTCACCGGCCATGCAGCCAAATGCCTTCTCGGATCGCCCATTCCTGTTGTCTTCAGGATGGCGTGAATGTACAGAAGTTTTGTCGTCATGCTTCCCTCGGCTCCATTCCTCTAGGGTTGCATTGACAGGGCCAAGGTCCGCCTTATTTCAACAAGGGCTTCGCCGCATATGACAAGCATATGGCAGGGTCTGCCGACCGGAGGTGAGCTTTTGGTGCATCGCAAGTGCAGAGTGAAATCCCACAGCGCGGAACGGCCATCTAGCCTTCCACCTCCCATCCGATGCCATGCCTGCAGGGTTGTCGGAGCGGAACACACCGACATGTAGTATCATGCGGTCATATTATCCGCCACTAGCAATGAATCAAGAATGTACAGAGTCAAGAATGTACAGTTTTGGCTCCTCAGTTCCATGTAATCTTTGGGCTGCGGGAGCGGACACCTTTGCTTTGCTTTCCTGTTCACGTGCAAAAGACATGACTATCAATGTTTCAGTGTCTGCATCTCTAGCATTCTACATGTGAGCTGGCCGTTGTCGTGGGCTTCAAGACGGACGCTGTTGCAATTGGCCACTGCAGCTCGAACATGTAAGTAGTCTTTCCTGCCCTATGCGCAGACTGGGCACTGCAGCGAGCTTGTAGTTCTGATTCGATGCCCATCATTTGTTCCCGCTTTCTGGGCCACTAGGCCGCACTTGTCTTTGGGCGAAAGGCATTCCACGACACTCAAAAGACAGCGTCATCTCCGGGTGACATCAAGGTTGTTAAAAGCAGGGCCGTGGGGTAGAATCTGTGGGAGCATGACATGAAAGCTTTTCGACAGCGCCGTACCCCTGATCGGTTTGTTGTCCGTGCCGCCGGCTTTAGATTCTTTAGACGATACTTTCTGTCTTTAAGTGGTGAGATTGCTTTCCTAGAGTCCAAGAGCCGAGGCAAGGCTCTGGCAGATGCATTTATTTCGGCTGCCATCTTCCAGAGCCAGAGGGGTCACACCGGTCACACCACCGAGCCGCTGCTAAAAGGAGCGGTGCTGAGCAGTGCTGTGCAGTTCCAGTGACCTCCAGTCTGAGCACTGCGCTCCGAGTGCCAGGATCTCCTGTCCACTGCGAAGTTCATTCCGAGGATGTGGCGTTGGAGGAGCGGGGAGCATCTGCATTGTGACATGCATGTCTGCCATGAAAGTTGCACGTTGTAGTTTCATGGGCCGGATCAAGTGCATGTTCTTCAAGATAACTTACAGCCGTGGAAGCATCTCGAGTCATTCGGGCCCCTGGTTCGAGGACGGTCTGGCAAAGAGCACTGGTGAATGTGAACAACCTCCGGATGCTCCATGCATGAAAACTACCGGCAGCAAGATTCTTCTTGACAACACACAAATTCTGTGTCTGCTAATGCTGTGGAATGATTGCAAGTCGGTTGATCTATGTCATCGTTGACGCACGTTGAGGTTGTTGGGCGATCAGAGTTTAGTCGTCCTCAGAGTCTGACGGACGCCGCCACTGGCTTCTGACAAGGAGCTTCATGACTAAACGCACGGGGCTGTGCAGGGTCAGCACTTACTCGGGGCTGCCATCCCTTTGAGATTTCTGAGCATGGCTGCAAGCGTAATTGCTTGGCTAGCCTGCTGCACCTGAACTTCGTCGAGCCAATGTTGAAGTTACTTTCCTGTCTGTCTCCGATCATGACTTCTGGTCTGGTGATCTGTAGGTAATGGCACAAAGCCACGGCAAGCACTGCAGCATTCCAGAAGATGCACCTGCAATCACGTTTTGTGTTCCAGCGGTGCCCTCTTCAGTCTTCCAAGTGCCGTGCCCTGGCAGGTTGCTGGTGAAGTTCTGTATTCGTTTTGGGTCGATTCCATTAAATGTGGATCGGACGTTATCGGCTAGCCTACAAAGGGCTCCAAACACAGTGCAGGGCCAGCAAAGAGCCCATTTGTGTCATGTTGTACAGTGCAGAGCTGCGGAAAAAATAACACAGTCGGTGCAACAAGACCTTGCGTTCGTTGTGTTGTGGCTGCGAGCTTGGGCATTGTTCTATCGGAAGAAACCGCATTCAAGTTGTGCTCCAGTCGAGACAGCCCAGGCTCTCAGTGAAAGGACCCCGGTTTGCCACGATGGTGTTGGGAAGCATGGTCTCGTTTCTTACCATCCTCGCTCACGCCGGAGGCATTGCCCTGACGTTCTGCTAGAGTATTTTGGAGTGCCTGCATGAAGCCCACATGTCCACCGAGACATTGAGCTTGTATCTAAGTGTATTTGTTGGGCCAACACACACAGCCAGCTTGCAGGGATTGCAGTAAGCTTCATAGAGGCAGCCTGGTGATCGCGAAAGCAGAAGGACCATTTTCAATGCAGTTTCCGCATGTTGTGTGACAAGGCGATCGTGATGTACCAGCTCCTGCAAACGAGAAGGTCTTCAAGAAATGCCAGCTTATAAAGAAGGAAGTCCTCGCAGAATCACGCGGCTTGTCCTGAAACACAGCCGGGAGATGTGTAGGGTGAGAGAACCCTGCAGCGATAGTACTGTTGGAGTTCCTGCTCGTGTGCCGAAAGTATCAGATTCCAGGCGCGCGTTGCAGGGTTTTTGCGGCTTTGGACTGGCAGGTGATCGAGGCGAGCCGATTGTCAAACTCGTGTTCGCAGCTCCAGGGAAAGAGCTCGTGGATGTCAACACTGCCCTCCGGCAGGCGCAGACTCACTGCAAACCCAAAAGCCTTGTCGGCGATCGACTGAGATGCCCCTCGCCCTCCCGTGCACATCTGAAATCCAAATTTCCAATTTGGAAGTCCACGGGTCTCGCGGTGTCTCAGTTCCAAGAGCCTCGCCAGGTGATTCTGGTAAGAGCCAACGGTGTGACACGCAAGTACTCGCCTCCTTCAGAGCCGTGTCGTCCAGATGGAGTCTTGGCTTTTCGAGTGTTGTGATGCTACGCACGTTCAGGTCGAGCGTCTGGTCTCTGTTTTGCATGACAGCTAGAAAGGGTCTGTTGCAACCTTGCTGCCATGTTGCAGGGACAGTTCTCGACGGTTGAATGTGTAGGGTTGAGGCTTCGGGGACATCTTAGACTCTTAGACAGCTGCCACGACGTATCGTGCTATTCTCGTTCGCTCAGCTCACGGTTGGTTGAGAGCCAAAGAGATCGCTGCTTGCACTGCATACTCGTCCGCGATCGTAATCGCAGTCCAAGTCATGAGGCAAACAGGCGCTGAGCATGTTGCAGAGTTGCAGGAACCTTCGAGTTGATCGTCCGAGTCTATGAGTCGGGCAATGTGTCAAGGCCGGACACGGAAGGGCTATGAAGAACTGCTACACTTCAAGGTTTAAAAGCTGCCTCGGCCGATGCGGCAGTTGGTGCGGAGGCTTAGGTCCTGGTTGATGTATGCGACCGTTGGACTTTCAAAAGCTCAGAACTGCAGTTGACCTGCGTTAAGGATCCGCTTGTTGCGTGCGCAGTGTTCAACTTGAATGCCTTTAGCTACGAGGGAGGTTACTGCGTGCAAGATTGCAGGGCGGTGGACATGTTGAGCATAATCAAGAATCAAAACGATAGACATAGGTGCCTGTGTCATTTTGCATTCCAGAGCTATGTCCTTGTCGTTGCGTGTGTGCACGTGCAAATACAAGATACGGTATGCAATGCGTACATGCTACATACGTTTGTCTGTCTGTCCTGTCTGTCCTGTCTGTGCTGTTTATGCTGTCTGTCCTGTCAGTCCTGTCAGTCCTGTCAGTCCTGTCTGTCTGTCAGTCCTGTCTGTCAGTCAGTCAGTCAGTCCGTTTTTCTTTTCGGTCGCCGCCTGCATGCACGCATGCATGCTGTTATGTGTATGTCTTGACGTCTAAACATAAGCACAACAGTGGCTGTAAAAATTTGTTTCTGCATGTACACACACGGGCGAAAGACCAGCATGTATGCATGCTTGCCTTTGTCCCCCAGTGCGAGCCATGTAAGAGCACCTGGATCCCGAAATCATGCCTGTGAAGTCCGAAGTGCCAAACTGTGGGACGTTGAGCCTCTGACTTCTGGAAGGCCTGAATCCTTTGATGCTGTTGCACATGCAAGTCCAACTTGAGACAAAGTGTGGCATGGGTTCGGCCGGAGGTTCCTTGGCAGCTTGCAAGTTGGTGAGACGGCTGACATGTGCTGGCCGTTTCCCTCTCCTCTTATCCCGGACCGGCGCAATGCTGGAACGCATGTCGGGCTTGTTGCGACTTGGCAGACGTAAAAGACGAGCTCGGGTTTTTGAAGGACATTCTAGTACGTGGTGGGCTGCGACAGAAGCGGTCAGCATAGATAGATGCGCGAACTGAGGCCTATGGAGTGGGCATCACCGAGCTCTTCCGTGTCGCTATCAATGAGCTTGGGGATCCAGCTGTCCAAGAAGTCTTGCTGCTGTACAGCACTCGAACCGCCGAAGACCAACAGGCAGCTGTGGGAGATGCCAAACCATCAAGATATGATTCAGTCGTCCTCGTTCCGGGCTGATCCCATTCCTAGTCTTGGACTTCGTTCGTCGAAGCTGCAGAGCTTCCCTTGAATCTACGTCTATCCGATTTTTATGTGCAAATCATATGGTAGTGTCCCACCACTGAAAAAACGCCGAGTCTTGGCAGCGAGAGTATGATTCCATGCAGCTTTGATGTGTCAGACTGTAGACGAACAAAGGCGCAAACTCGTGGAAGCTCGTCGGAAGTTAGTTGGAATGAAAGTGCCGGCAGGTACTCGGCAGGGAGCTGGAGGAGCTAGCGCTGAAGGACGTTTGGTTTGGTCGTAGGATGCCATATGTTCCATCGTGACATTCAGGATTAGAGGCTGTCAGAAGGGTGGTTTCCTGCTGCTATCCCGAATCGAAGGAGAAGCGCTTCCGGCTCTTGCGAGCAGTCTCTCGAGAGAGGGTTCCTGGAATGTTGCACGGGCGTGCAGATGCATCCATGCTGCGGGAGGCTGCCCAGAAGCTCGAAGCTTCTGAGGGTCTCTCCATCCACCGATGCAGGTGTTTCTGCCATGGGCAACTGGCCCTGACCGAAGCAATGCCCGATTTCTACCAGCAGGCCGACGGGGTTCTCAAAAACATGTCAACAGCAGATTGCAGCAGATCCTCTCACACAGGAAGCAAGGACATGATATTGCTGGCTCACAAGTGCCTCGTTGACCTAGGATCCACGGTTGCATTGGGAGTTTTTTCGGCGCGGCATACCGGTTGTCCGTTTGTCGGCAGACGTACTCAGGCTTCGATGCTGACCAGTCGAAGCTCATCCGCGACAACAGACCTCTAGCTTCGAGTTGAGATCCTGCACGCGCGCAAGATGTAAGGCACCACCAATTCCCGCTGTCTTCGGGCTGGTGGGCGCAATAATTCGACCTGTTGCCAGATGGCTGTCGATCGAAGCCCTAACCAGCTTTTCTTGTACAGAGATTTTGTCCGTTGCCTGCTCCCCACCGCCATGAGGTGTGGGAGTCTCGGTAGGCCACCTTAGCAGGTTCCGACTGCCAAGGGGCCAAGCGGATTCCAGCTTAACTCCATGAGAAGCATATGGCAGCGTCCGTGAAAAGTGGTCCCTCACACGGGTTGCCTCACGGTGCTGCTTGCTGCTGCAATGTTGCATTCTTGCTGGTGCGATGGCTCCTCGGCCCAAAGCCGATAGTCACCTGAGTCGCCTAAATTGTACGTGCACGGGTTAGGTCTAGCGCCTGCATGGTGGCACCAGCGCGACAGCAAAGAGCCGTGGTACTCTCGACGGCAGGGGTTTTCGTTGCGTCGGTATGGGCAAGCGGAGTGAACTTTTCTATGCTTTGGACTGTCGCGAAGTCACAGATGAAGGATGACAGATTCACTGAGAATTGCACTCTTGTACGCAAAGAGACACTTTGTGAAGGCAGATCTCGCGGTGAGCCTGTCCGCCGGTTCGTTTTCCAGCCGCCACCAAATGCTTCAATGACTGTTCAAACCGGGCTTCGCCAAGTGGTGGTGGTGAATGCAGTGGGTGTTCGTCGACTGTATTCACCCACATCGAAGCCACGACAAGATGGTACTTTTGACCTTGTTATCCGTGTGTACAGGCAGGGCCGGGTTTCCCGCTGGCTGGATTCGCTGCGGCTCGGGGATTCCGTCAGTATGACATGGCCATACCCTACACCTCTGCCGAGCAACCGTCGAAATCCAGGGCGCCACGTGGGTCTGATCGCGTTTGGGATTGGCATCACAGAGTTGTACCGCACTGCAGTGCAGGAGCTTGCAGACCCCCGAGTCAGGGAGGTGGTCCTACTCTATGCGACGCGGACCATGGAAGAACAGCAGGCTCGTCGTATTCGATCGTTTCTCGCCAGGGGGCTGCACTACCCACGAGCATCATTCAAGTTCGAAATGCCTTAGTGACCGGGTTGCTGGTTCGGACTTGCATCAGACATCATGAGATGCAGCGGCATGCCTCACGCTTGAGTCCCTTTAGGTTGCCAACGCAAACTCTTGCAACTCATGGAGATTTGAATCTTCAAAGATGCCAGGTGTTGAAGTCCGAGCTTCGCGAATTGGCGTGCCAAGAGCCGAAGCGCTTTCGGCTGGTCGCTATACTATCCGAGGATCGGCGGCGTTTCTTTTGAGTGGTTGGGCATTACTTTGTTTGGAACATTTTGGAACCCTTGAGAGGAGCAAGTCCCTGGAGTCCTGTTTGGCCGACTAAACTCTTCGGTGCTTGCGGAGGCTGCCCATGCATACAGCATGTGTCGATGATGACCAGCATTCAGGTCCTGGACCCAACACGTCAGTAAGTTTCAATAGACGTTTGCGAAATTCGCTGATATGTCCTGGCAGTAGATTTACATCAAGTAGGAATCACATCTGGAAGTTACTGGCAGCTTTGGTGTTGGTTCGAACTGGCACAGACTGCTGGAGATGAACGCGGCAAAGATCCCTATGGCTTGGGGTGTTCTGCCACTCCCTCGTTACACTCTTGTGTTTCTTGCGGCTTCCCCTTCCTCAATCCTTTGGGGGCCAGGGTTCAAAGAGGGGGGATGAAATTGGGAGGATGGGGTGAGCGAGCGGGGCAAGAGGTCCAAGAGGATCAAGCGCGGCTTGAAAATCAAGAGTCAACAGGGTCAAGAGGGAAACAATTGACCTGACAATTAGCACCCTTCCCCGACATCCTGCAGGTCTTTCCGTGGCAGGCTGATGGACTCCGAAGAGGTGCACGGTTCATTCCAGCCGGGACGAAGGCCATGATACAGGCTGCCCATACATGGTTGGAAGAGCTCGGCTACCGCCCAGATCGTGTCGTGGTAGCATGAAGGTCTCGTGTTACCGACTAGAGGCTGCAAATGCAACACAAAACGAAGTCAGCAGCCGGGGGACTTTCCACGGCATAAGAGCAGCCGCACAAATTAATGAACACCTCAAACCCACAGGAGCCTTGTAATGTCAAGCTGCTAAGCTAAGCCTGTCATCTGTGTTGACCGTGTCTCATGCTTTATGTCAGAGGCTTGATGCAACACCTAGATCTGCAGGTTACAAGTTGATTCGCGATGCTACAATGTTGCGACGACACAACTTGACGAAATGATCAAGTGCCAGAGCGTCGACAACATGCCAGACTTTGATGGCGGTTTCCTGCGCATGAGAGTCTTTCTGCGCGAATTGCCCTTGCTTCATTTCAAGACCACTGTCTTTCATGTGGCAGTGGGCATCAGGTCAAAAAGGCAGCAAAACAACACCAGCAATTCAAGCGCCTACTGTTCAAACCGGGCCACCTTCTGACCTGCGTGTCCACGGCCACAGTTTGGTGCATCGATTATCGCATCTTCGCTGCTACTTTCATGGCAGCTCTACAAAAAAGGTGGCTCTGAGCCACAACCTTCTTTAAGCGCAAGTTGCGCGCTGTACAGAAGCCGCTGTTCCAGGTTCCACATAAGGTTTGGGCCTGGCCTGCAATCCGAGAAGCATGAGCACAGTGGTCCAGGAAAGTCCCGTCTTTGCAGCAGAGGCACTGTAGGTTTGGCCGCTTAGTAGTTGGTAGCCGCGACCGACACAAGAACAGTTCGCAGTCTCAGTAGCTGCAGCACCTTAAGATCCTTCCTGCGTTCTGTGCGATGAAACAAGGTGGCTTGGCGCTGCTTCTCTCGGCTGCTCCTCCGAAGGCTGGGCTCAAGCTCTCCGCACGGACCCATGATGTCCACGAGCATGCCGCAGCAGCCAATCCATGTCGCATCTGGTGAACAGAAGATCACCAGATGCAGATTGGTTGCGAAAACGACTTTGTGCGAGGAAGACGAACGAGGAGAGCCTGTGACATGGTTGATGTCCAGATGAAGTTGTTTGTTGGGGGATAACACAGTGTAGACTCTAGACATCTGAAAGGTTTGCATCACAGAGTGCTACTCCAGGTGATGCAATCCAAACGAATGCAGAACGCAGCGGACAAAAATGTTACAATTGTCTGCTGGAGGGTCTATCTGATATCTAGCTAGGTTTCCTCAGTGACGATGCAAAGGCAGCACCCAGCCCAGGTTCGCCGCTTCGTTTTCCAGTCTCCTCCCGACCATCCAATGGCTTCCGATGCTGCTTTGCGCCAGGAGTGGGCTTCTGAAAGCTCGGTCCCACATTCTTTGGGTTCCTGAACTTGTGCAGTTTAGACTTTCTTTGTAGACTCACTGTAGACGAATGGCAAGGTGATTGTCCTAAATGCTCTCGGTGTGCGTCGAATGTACTCGCCAACATCCTCGCCATGCCGTACCGATGGGACCTTCGAGCTGGTGCTGCGCGTGTACAGGCACGGCTACGTGTCCAGATGGCTGGATGCCAAACTTGTTGGAGAGACGGTGGACATGACGTTCCCGTGGCCAAGCCCTCTTCCGCTGGATCGTCGGAATCCTGGGCAACATGTTGGTTTGATCGCATTCGGCATCGGTATCACAGAGCTGTATCGCACTGCTGTCCAAGAACTCGCTGATGCAAATGTTGGTGAGGTTGTGCTTCTGTATGCAACACGTACTCTAGCCGAGCAGGGCATTTTGGCGGATGAGCTCGCAGTGCTGGTCAAATCAGAACCGCATCGCTTCCGACTGGAGCAACTCGTTTCGCGCGAATCTGTTCCTGGCATGCACCATGGGCGCATTGACTCCCAGTTGCTCGAAAAGGTCTTTCCATGGAGTCAGCACGACCGTGACACGACGGGAGTTCGGTTTATGGTGGCCGGGACCAAGCAGATGATGCAGACGACGCACCGCCATTTGGAGAAGTTGGGTTATCGGCCGGATGTTTACAAGCTTATCCGAGATCTCAAGATTCCGGCTGCTCATGGCGTTTCAAAGCTTTAGAGACGCAAGGGAAACGAACCAGATGCCGGGTGGGGGCGGCGGTAGCTAACAAGTAATTCATGCATGGCATGTGCGACTTGACTCATGCTTTTGGTGGCCGTCTATGCTGTAGAGTGCTGCAGACTCGAAGAGTGAATGGTCCAACAGGCATGGTATCGCAACTCTCCAGCTGGTTCCGCTTAAACTGCGGGTCAGCTCGAACAAACTTTCGATGGGTTTCTGGCTGTTTGGTGTTGTCCATTGAAGATCGTTGAAGTGTTGCGCTGCCTCGATATCCTTCAAAGTCGAGCTATCCGCGTTTGCGATACCAAGAAGCGAGGCTCGCATAGTCCCTGAAACCTTTGATCGAGGCTTTCTCAGGCAACCCTGGAGTTCTATGCAGACTGGGGATTGGAAGGAATGCCTACCATAATTTTTGGATAAGTCTGTGCTCTGCAGCGGCGAAATGACCTTGCAAGCCGGACCGAGACGTGGGCGGAAGGCGAGAGACACACACTTTGGCACTCCGGCAGGCACAGATGTCTGCCAATGCTCTGATCACAATGCCGTAAGTGAGCCCACAAGCTTCAGAGGTTAGAGCCATTTCGGCCCAGAAAAGAACATCTGCTTCCTCAAAGCATCGCTGGCGCAGCTCAAGGCATGGACCAGGAACATGCCCCTGTGCTCGTCATCCGGAAATCCTTTTATGAAGTGGTCGCCAAAGCAGGCACCTTGGTGGATCTGGCGTTGTTTTGGAATGATTTTGCTCTGAGAGAGGGCCAAATGGCTTTTCGTTCAGCACGCCCCAGCCACACTGCCGCAGAAGAACAGAAAACCGCTTCCGTTGTGGCCCAGGCCCAGATGGACATCCCTTGCGCCGCTCGAAATCAGCTGCACAGCTGCACCGACACAGATAGACAGTGCCGACACATCAAGCTACAAGGTTCATAGGCACAATGAAATCGAGGATACGTGCTTTCAGATCGCAGCAGAGATGAAGAAGGTCGGAAGCCTTTGTGATGCTGAGCTTCTAAAGGGAAGATCGAAGCCAATGAGTGCGCTGAGTTGGGTGTACAACAGTCCGCAATCAGGATCTAAGGGCTCGTTTTGCCGGTCGTGACACTACTTGTTGGCGGTTTCGCAGGGGTTCCGCGTTGCCCAGCTTTGGTAATCAATCAGCTGCATGTCGTGGCAGCAGGCATGAGGCAGCTAGTGGCAATAAGTTGTTCTCCGTCTCCGTCAGGATGTTGAGATGACAAGATTGGATAGCTAATCTGTGTCTGGTGGGACTTCGGCCAGCCCTTTGTGGTGCAATACTTGCTGAGTGGCACTTCTCGAACATGGTAATGTGCATAATCTTCCCATCAAGCACAAGACGAACCATCGCCACGTTATGCAATGGCCCGCTTCCGCCAGACCACGAAGCCACAAAGCGGCTCAAACCACCATGTCGGTTCGAGCAGTGGTGTCAAACTTTCGTAGATCCCACGCCACGACAGGAAGCATTCCAATTTTGAAGCCTTCAGGGAGTGATTCCGACTTCCCTACCTCCAAGCAGGGGTTGAGGGTTTGGTTTTTTGGTGCTTCGGATGTTTCGGCATTTATGGCGATGGAGCTTCCTGACTTGAAAACTGTGTAATTTACGATTCGATATTCGGGTTTGAGGTTTTGTGGAGACTCTGCTGGAGTTTTTTTGGCCGGGGAGGGAGAAGCTAACGGTCAGGTGACGGTCACCCGTCCATCACCCGGAGACGTAGTTGGCTTATCCCTGCATCTCGTCTTCCTGGTTCATCCACAGCACCTCACAGGAGGCTTCTTCGGTCGAAGAGACAGAGCATCGATCCAGGCAGCTTCCGCAAAGCAAGCCCAGCACCGCCAAATAAGCCGTGACATGTGCACGATGCATGTTTCAGCTAAAGAAATCATGGCAACGTACGGGGACTGCAGGTATTCGTTCTCGCATTTTGATCTCAGTGAGCAGGGAGATGGTATATGTGGTGATCGCATGTGGTGGGGGTCGTTCTAAATGTGGGCTCCCTTCAAGGCGCCTTTGGTCAATGGTAGGATGAAGGACCCCTACAAGAACCACACCACCCTCAAACATGCGTGTCAATGTGTCAATCAGTGTTGTCAGGCAGCCAGAACCTGCAGTGCAGCCTCGGGATCAGACTCCGTCGGATCCTCAGCGCTCTGACACTAAGGCGATTTCGGGACTCGCGAGCCTTTAGACGTGGATTTAAATTAAATGCAGTATCAGTATGGAAGCGATATAGCTTAGCCTGGTGTCGTATGAGTGCGGGACAGCCTTTGGGCTGCGCTGCAGACTAGCTTCGGGAGCCACTAGATCCTGTAGGCTGCTGTGCTGTTTCTGATCAGCGGGAGCCTGGAAGGAGTCCTCGCAGAACTCATCCACTTGAACTGGTTGTTGCTGCTACGCGCTGGGGCCTCAGATGCTTCGCTTCGGCCAGTTGGTTTTGACCCTCCCGCTGTCATGCTTCGGCTTTGAAGTGTCGAGTACCAAACTAAAGGATATAGCAGGGCCTGTGCCGACATATGCTCGAGCGAATGGAATTACCAAAACATGTGCATGTAGCTGGCAGAGCCGCTTGAACTCATGTCGAAGTCAATGCGATGAATGCGCGAACCAGCATGCAATTAGTGCGGTCCTGTCATCTCATAATGCCCATGTTCCATGCCGTTGCCTTGTTGCCTGTTTCAGCATGACTCCACTGAGTGTCGGTAAAGTGAGTAGGTACGGCGTTCTCAGGTAAAGACAGCACGGAGGTAGAACGTCTTCTGAAGGCACAGTCAGGCACGCAGCTTCGGTTTTGGATGATGTTGTGAGACACTTGGTTTGTTTGTGCTGCGAGCGTGGATGTTGTGAGAAGCGGCTAAAGGTTAATCATCCCCTGATTTGAATCATTTGCCCATTTACTTGGTCTGAACTCCACTAGCACGCGCCTCTTTCAGGATACTCCCTTGGACAACAAGTGAAACCTATCACGGAACATGCGGAAAACGGTGACGATCCGTTTCAGCAAATCTGCATCTAGCTTTTTGCGATAAAGACAAAGATGTTCTGCTTGTTGTCGTGGTATATGTGGTAATGTCCCAACACAAAGACGAAGCTCGCGCTCGGAAGCCAGGACGGCACCCGCATGATATTCGGCCCGCGCAAACTTGGGAGAGGTCTTCTTGCGGCCTCGGACAACTTGCGATAAAACGGAAATGCATCCCACTAGCTCATTCTCCTTTCAAGAGATCAAGGCAAGCATGCAGCGCCGTAGCGAAGACCTCCCTTGCAATGGCTGAGTAGGTGTCTGAGACCAAAGGTGGCGGTAGTCGACAAGAATTGGCACATGGAGGCCAACAAGCAACTAATCAACTGCACAACTCTCCTCCGACTTGAAACATCGATTCGACCACTTCGGACCAGCACCTTGACTTCGACATCTTGCATGGTGTGTTCTTGTCAGACGAAAGCCGCCACAAGCTGCTCGACTGGCGCCACGAGGCGGGAGCAGTCCTGCACGGAGAAGTGCTAGCTGCCAACTTGTGCCAGTGCCAGCTTCCTGTGTGGCATTGCTGGCAGCTAGCAGACTCTGTCAAAAGTGCAGGTCACAAAAAACAACCTCTGGCACTACGCTGCGAGCTATGACTCTTCGGAAGTGCTGAAGGACTGGACATGGCCAACTTCCTGGCTTAGGTCAATTCAGCACAATCTAGCATGTTACTGCCCTTGCAGTGTTGCAGGTCTTGATCGAGCACAGCCGTCGACTCGATGGTTTGCGCCGATTGCATGAACCGAACTGCTCCGGCCCCGGATATCCCCTCATTTGCAAGTCAGTGACGGCGAACCATGCCGAAGAAACGCATATGCGTACTATGACAGCTCTTGAAGGAATCGCCTCAAACCAAGAATGACATTGAGGTGAAGGGTTCACCGCGCTGGACGCCGCCTTACTGCACAACAGCGAGGAGGCGGGCTGGCGTACTGCTCATCTTGACCTCGGCCTTCCATTCTCGAACATGCCGAAGAGATCCGACTCAAAGTTGACGCTGAACGCACAATGAAGAAACACTTGCACCGCCGACTTCCGACCTGCCAAGAGGCATCACCAAATGCAAGCACAAAGATGCAGCTTGACCTGGATCGATTTAGCTTATGCCTGTACTTGTATTCTCCGCCGCCATCGCTTCCCGTAGCCTCGCCTACATTCCTGCAATCGATGCTAACATGCTTGGAAGCGCTGCACTAGCAAAGCGACCAACAGCAGCACAGCAGCACACAGCATCGAGGCACAAGGGCTTTGAGCGTTTGACCTGCAGCCGCTGCAAAAGGCCACACACCGGGGGTTGCACCGATGAAGGGCGGGGAACTTTCATGCCGGAGATCGCTATTTAGGCGGTTTCTCGTTTCATCGGGCACGTGGACAACAAAAAAGCACGATCTATCATGATGTGACCTTCATTCAGGATACTTAAGGTGTGGAAGA